TTTGGCATAGTAAGAGAGATGTCGACTGGTCGCTCGTCGTCGTAGTCGCCGTCGGTTGGCCCTCTGGTGGGATTTACGGGCCGACGCTGGTTTGCGCGAGAGCTAGGAGGGATTGTAAATCCCCGTTTGAGGATCGCTGATACCAAGTTTTATGTGGGACATTAGTCGGTACGGGGCGTGGCAGTGAAAAAGCGAGATAGAGAAACGTAGCGTACGTACGTAGTAGCCGGCACGACTCGAGAATAGGCGGCCAAAGGCTATAAATTAGCCCGAAATGAAAGACAAATTGCCTCGAAACTGTCCGCCCGCCACCAACGCCGCCACTGCCGCCTTTGCTGCTTCGTGATAGAAGCGCCTTCAGCTAGATTTTCAGCGGACGCGCAGCTATATATAGGTACGCGAAACCTATTTTGCTCCTTTTACTCTTCTGCTAGCCAAAGTCGCACGGACGTCCGACTTGACTCAGTGACTATGAGATTTGAGTTTGACGATAGTGTCAATATTTTTATTTACGATTGTCGGTTAGATGACGTCCGAAACGCGCATTGCTATAGCTCTTTATTATCAGGGTAACTTTATCATATTCATTGTGTACAATTGAGATTTAGAAAATATTCCGCCGCAATAAATTTTGAATGATTACAATGTGATTATCAGCTAAGCTACTGACTTGGAACGTAGTTGTAAGCGAATTCTAATAATAACACTTATCCAAAATTAGGTAAAAGTAGAAACACGTGGAAAATATGTAGACTGAGGAACGTGAGTTAGATAAGAGAGAAGCTGTAGAATTTTACGTGAGCTTTCGGCGGCGACGTGCGTAGCGTCGCGTTCTCGTCAGTCGGAGTGGAAGCGAAGTTACTCCCACGGGTACCCGCGTGCGGGGGCACAAGAACTGACCACGCGATATAGCACAGGGAGAAAACGGAAAAAAAACCTTACAGCCGTTTCGCTTCGATTTCTCCCTGCCGTTATCCTTTTTCTCGCGTCAAACTTGTGCGTTGCTTTTTCTTCTTTCTTTTCATTCTCGGGCGCTGCGGACTTGATGGACGTCTGTCAGGTCACCGGGGACTGCCATAGAAAAAGAAAAAAAAATAAAAAAGCCACAAAGCAAGAAAAGTCCAGATGGAATTTGCCGTCGCGTGGATGATGATGTCACTCTCTTGTTGGGACCTTTCTTCAGTTTGATTTTATGTTATACGTGCATGCGAGACTGATTAAGATAAGACAAGGTGTCTTAGAGTAATTTTAAACTCAATGCGTCTGACAATATTCCGTGAGAGTACACGAGTTTTTTCACAGTCGCGGTTTGCACTTCGCTTACGTATCAATGCAAATGTTTAGTTTTTGATAATCGAAGTTTCTCGGAAACTTCCTACTTATTCACTGTTTAATGAAAAAATATATTTAAAGATACTTGAGACATTGTTTAGACACTAATCCAGCAATTAAATCGTCTCAATTAACTAGCAAAAACCAATTACGTTTCTAAATGCGTTCGTCATTATACCCTCAATTAACGAAATAAAAGAAATGTAGCAATTCATTAGCGTCAAATGGCGATAAAGTTGTACATTTGCGGGCGCAAAAAAAGAACAGTAGGGAAAAGGAGAAGAAGAACGAGCGCGTGGCATAATGCATACGTTGGTGTAAAATGCCTGCACGGTGACAAAGCAATCTCGCGAAAAAGGCTCGTCAACGTTGCGCCGAGCGCTCTCATCTCGCACACACACAGCTACGGTTGTTTTTTTTCCATCGTCGTCGTTGTTGGTGCAAGCTCGTTGTATGCACTGGTCGGACGGAATAACTCACGTACGTCCGCTGTGTCGCCAGCGAAATGAACGTTTTAATTCCTCCCATAAAAACGTGAGCGCGCGCGACAAATCAAACTCTGGTCGACGTGATTAACTGGCTCTTGGGCATAAATATCGGCGTCAATGCACGTGCGCACACTCATGATGACAAACCTACGCGACGATATGTGTCCATCTTTCTTTATCCTTTTTTTCCCTCGCATTCATTCTTTCGGACGTCTCTATTGCCGTCTGTTCGTGGTATAGTTGTGCGATGGTTAAGTGAGATGCTGAGTGATGGGTGTTCCTTCCTTTTTCCGTTGGTGGAATTTCGATGAATGGATTTGTTCGTAAGGTTTTTCATACCTGAGTTGATTTTGATGCATTAGTCAATTTCATGAGTTCTTTAAAAATTTCTATCATTGTTTTATATCCTTTCAAACGCTCATTAACGTATTTTAAGAAAGCTTAATAATCTTCCGAGATAAAAATACATTTACAGATAAATGTTTATGTAATTAATTATCTGCAATTAAGTCTTTGTTTAAAAATGCAAATTCTGCCTTATAAGTCATTATTCCAATTTTCAATACCTTAGAAGTTCAAGTAAAGAAGCGAATTTTATAGTATGCGTGTAATTTCCTGTGTATGAATATAAAATTTGATTGTAAAGTAATGAAAAAGTTGACCGAACGATATGTTTCACATAATTAATTATTTACACATAGATCATTTTTTTTATAAAAGTAACTGCACTTCTTGCGAAATTTTTTTTTTGCTACAATAGGAAATACATTTATGTAGAAAATACTACACGAAAATACAAATGCTGCGTTAATAATAATTTAGTCTAGAACAGGTGTACACGTGATTGTACAATAACTTAAGTAATCATCAATATCTTTCCATTATGAAAAGTCACGCTTTACGATAATCATAAAATTCGTGAGTTTACATACTTGGTAGAAATTAAGCTGCTGTTATATGCGCTGTTGATCGTCTCGATTGCTGGACTGAAGCCTGCGTTAGTTAATTTTTTTTCACGACATTACAATTAAGAAAAAATAAAAGAAATGTTGCTTTTGTGGTTTTTCGTTGTTTTGAATACACTACTGGCAAGTGGAAAAAAGTATACGTCCATAATTAAAACAACATCTGGCCCAGTTAGAGGTTTACTTTCAACTACGATTGAAAATGTTAAGTATGCTGCATTCAAAGGAATACCTTACGCTAGACCACCTGTGGATGATCTAAGATTCAAGGTTAAATGAAGAAATTTAAAATTTATTTCGAACATTAGCGATTAATTTACGTTAGATTTCAGCCTCCTGTGGAAATAGATGCCTGGGCAGACGTTTATGATGCAATTACCGAGGGCAGTATGTGTACTCAATTCAATTCAACTACCAATTTGAGTGTCGGCTCGGAAGACTGCTTATATATCAATGTTTTCACGCCACATGTAATATATTAACCAATGGATTATTGAGATCTTTTTTATTTTGTTTGTTTAAATTTAAAAAGATGAACTATAAACGATTTTTAGACCGTATTCAATAGTTCAATATCTAAACCAGTTATGGTTTGGATTCATGGAGGAGCATTTACAACTGGTAATTCCAATGGGTCATACTACGGTCCTGACTTCATTTTGAGAGAAGATATTATTATGGTATCGCTTAATTATCGATTAGGCCCATTAGGTAACTTTAATCATCATAATCAATTATATTGGAAATATGTTATTAGACTGTATGCTTTTGTAATTGTAGGATTTTTAAATTTACAACATGAAAATGCTACAGGAAACTGTGGTCTCAAAGATCAAAATTTAGCTTTGAAATGGGTGAAGAAAAACATAGCACTATTCGGTGGTAATACAAATAACATAACAATTTTTGGTGAAAGCGCAGGATCTGTATCTGTAGATTTACACGTTTTATCAGACATGTCTGTCGGTCGGTTTCTTTATTTTAAATCGAACATTGATCTAAGTTTTATTTGATATATTTTACATAAGAATGTTATAAATTTAGGTTTATTTAGCCAATCAATTTCCATGAGTGGATCTCCATTATGCTTGTACTGGGGTTTCCAAAGTCGTGTAGAAGCAGAAGAGCAGGCGTTTCGGCTCGGTTCGAAACTTGGAACTGTAACATTTAGTAAAGATACATTATTGAAAACACTTTATAATAGTACAGCAGCTGAAATTGTCGTTGCAGCGCATAACATCGGTTTAGTAAGTAATTTGTGCAGCATAAATGGTATCAATCAACGTGCAAATAATTGACTTCTATTTAAAAATGTTATATACAGATACCGTTTCGACCTTCTCTTGAAAATATTGACATTGCCACGAATGAGGAAAAGTTTTTGACGGAATGCACACTGAAAAAGTATTTAAATGGCAATTATACAAAAGGGCCGCATATTATGGGTTTTACATCAAATGAAACAGTTTCTTTTACTGGGAGTATGTTAATAAATAATTTCTATAAAAACCTGATTAATGAAGTAAGCTTGCTTACTAAGTTTAGCATTACATTTTTCAGGTATAAGTGACTTATTAAATTTCACTCGAACGGCCTTGAACACGATAAAAAACGATACAAGTAAAATAGCTTTCTTATCAGACCTTACAGATGCTATTACTACTGGAATAGAGAATCTGTCTCAGGACGCTGTGTATAAATTGATTAAAGTAAAATCAATTAATTTTAATCTTCTATTGCTTCGACAACTTAATAATTATTATAAAAATTTCAGGAAACTACGGATTTATTTTTTGTGCTAGGAATTGACACCAAGCAGAGTTTGATAAGTCGTAATAATGATCATCCAATTTACTATTATCGCTTTTCTTTTAACTCAAACAACTCGTTACACAGAACAGAGGGAATAGATCTTAATGGTATATACCGATATAGTTTTTTTCACAATAGATTGAGTGAAGTATTGTATATTTTCATTATGATGATTTTCAGGAGTCGGGCATATGGACGATTTGCCGTATATATTATATATGCCAACGGCAAAACTTTCTTTGAACCGCCCTGATATTAAAGTTACCAGAAAAAGGGTTGTTAAATTATGGACTAACTTTGCTAAGTATGGGTAAGAGAAATTCTTATATGATGAATTAATAACAATAATAAGGAATATTTTTTGATTTGACTATTTCTCTCTCTCTCTCTCTCTCTCTTTTTTAAGAAATCCCACTCCAGATGACGAAGATGACGAGGTTTTAAGAATAACATGGCCTGATTCACGCTCTCAGGGAGAGCATTTAGAAATTGGTAATGATTTAACAATAGGCCAGCGCCCAATTGACGATGAAGTAAAAAGCTTACAACGATTGGACCTCGGTAATTCTCCCGTACTAAACGACTGTGTTAATAATAATATTGTAGCTGATGTGACAAATAGTGTAGTTAGTATTGTTGGTGTATTCGTTTGAACCACGACGTCACAGAACATTCAACATTATGTCATAAATATTAGTAATTAAATTGGATGCCGATTATGATATTTCATTTTATCACTGACTTGCTTAAATTTTTCTTTATAACCATTAATAAATCTTATTTTGTAAATACGAAAAGAGCTTCTTAAATAAAATGAAGAAAACGCATTCCAATCAGGGTTTTTGCCGTGCAGCTCCTAGCGCTCTCGAGCCTAACATAAGGAACCAACGTTTCAATATTCTTTGTAATACGTATAGAAGCAACTGTTTTAAGTACTAACCAATGTATATTTAATCCAATAATGAAAGTTTTCTTTTGTAACAAAAAATAATAGCAAATATTAATGTAAGTATGTGAAAAGTAGTTTTGATATTATGACAATTGTTATATTATGACAATTAACAAAATATCGGTATAAGGGGTAAAACAGCAGCTTTGAGGTAAGATGTATTCTGCATTGAACTAGTAACAAAAATTGTGGTTCTTTTCAAAAACATCAATGGCATACCTTGTTTTTAAACTATGTGAAATTGAAAAGCACTGGAAACTATTATTAGTAGGTTATTATGAATCAGTTATATATATATGATAGCATATGGCACAACCTTTGTTAAGTTCTTGAATATTTGTCATATATGACTGACTCGACCTTGATGTTAGCCGACAGTGCAATAAACGATAAACCTTTATCAGATCTTACTAAGGTTACTACTAACGAAAAAAAGTATTTTATTAAGGAATTTATATACAAATTTAGAAAGGTTATTCGTGTAACAACCTTATTATTAAAACTTTTCAGTAAACTACAGATTTATGCTTTGCATTAGGCATTGATACTAATTAATAGGCAGCAATAGATTAGTCGTAATAATAATACGATTACAATGACATTTTTCTTTTGATTCGAACTTTTGGTACGATAGAGAATTAGGCATATATTTGGATGGTAAATAGTTAAAAATTACATAATAATGAGATATAGCAAAAATAAAAAATGAGCATAACTAAGTTTAAATGTACTATAGTATATATAGTATATACATATAGTATATATAGTATATACATATAAGGGGTTGACAATGAAAACAGACTTTGCTAAATATAGGTAATAATATTGATTTTTAAGTTCTTATTAGCAAAAAAGGTATTTGAAAAATATTCTACAATATTTTATTTGCTTTTTTCTGAAATTTAATTTATGATGGTGAAAATAACTATATTTTAGTAATAACTTCGCCTGATTCACGTGGACAGCATCAGGAAATAGCATTTCGAAAATTGAATAATCGGTCAACGTTCGGTGACCAATAATGAACAATTGTACCGATGTTTATTATATTTACATGAATAGGGATCTTCAAATCTTTTAGAATTGAATAGAAATGATGATAAAACTCTTTCTAGACCTTAATATTTATTACAAGATTTTATAGGATTTATTATTATATCAATATTACTTTCATTTTTGCGAATGGCGTTCTCTCTGATATAATCTACTGTATAGTTGGTATTATTACTTTAATCTGTTAAAGAATATACGACATTAATTTTTTTAAATATTCATACATAAATCCAATGTCACTTAAGTCACCTTATAAGAGTTAGCTTATTTTGACACTTGCTTTATGACGATTAAAAAATCCTAAATTGTTAAGTTAATTAGTCAACAAATCATATGAAGAATTCGTGAGTGTTTCCAAAGAAAATATACATCTGAATAAAGCTCTTACGAAAAATTGTAATTCGTCTTTATTAATGCTAAATATACGTGCGTAAACATAACAATCTACCATTAAAATTACAATTGTTTATGGTTGAGAAATATACTTGTTATTCGAATGACGAAAAAAATGGAAATTATAGAAAACAATTGTTTATTATAATTCAGTTATATAATAACATAGCGTAGCTTTCTATTCTATACTATCTTTTTAGTCGTTTTCAAACAATAAAAAAATGTTAATACTGGATGATCCCTGAATTTATAGCAACTCATTATCTTTGATACAATCTTTATTATCTTCGGTATCTCTCTGGATATATATATGGTGTTGGCATCGACATTTTCAGTATTAACCTTTTTAATGATAGAAAGCCATTTCTGTTTATGATTCTTGATATATTGAATTAGAAATTGTGTGGGTATAAAACTGAACTGAGTATAAGAGTATTACTATTCCTGAAGAAATGAAAAATAAGATAAACATGAACAGAGCGTTGTGTTTTAGTTTTTTCGTATTTTTGAATATCTTATTTGTAAGAGGACAACCGTATACATCAGTGATAAATACTACGTCAGGTCCAGTCAGAGGTTTCATTTCAACTACTATAGAAAATGTCAAATACGCTGCATTCAAAGGAATTCGTTACGCTAAGCCACCTGTTAACGAATTAAGGTTCAAGGTAAGTAGAAATATTCAAATATAAATTTGGATGATAACAGTTAAATGATCTTTAGCCTCCGGTGGAAGCAGATCCGTGGACAGATATTTACGAGGCATTCACTGATGGAAACATCTGTACCCAGGTTAATTCCAATGCGGTTATAGGTTCAGAAGATTGTTTATTCATCAATATTTTCACACCACATGTAATATACACAATATATACTAATGCAGTATTGAGAGTTTAGCTTTTTCTTTTCTAATATTTAATCGATATATTTACGTTTAGACGGAATTCCATAGTTCCATTTCTAAACCAGTCATGGTTTGGATTTACGGCGGAGCATTTCAAAATGGTTATGCAAATCAAGCCTTTTACGGACCTGATTTCATCCTAGGAGAAGATGTTATTATGGTGTCGTTTAATTATCGAGTTAGTGCATTAGGTAAAGTAATCAAATAGACTTAATTATATAAAAATGCGACGTAATGTTGATCAAATGGTAATCTTTTGTTTATAGGATTTCTGAATTTAGAACATGAAAATGCTACAGGTAATTGTGCACTCAAAGATCAAAGCTTGGCTTTGAAATGGATTAAGAAAAATATAGCTCATTTCGGAGGTAATCCACATAAAATCACGATATTTGGTCAAAGTGCTGGAGCAGCCTCTATAGACTATCAAATCTTATCTGATATGTCTACTGGTGAACAAAAGATTTTTTATAGTTCTAAAATTAGACGTATGCATGTGCATTTTCCATAAAATTCGATTATTGCCATTTTAGGCTTATTTAAACAATCAATTTCTATGAGTGGATCACCATTGTGTTTTTACTGGGGATTTCAAACTGGAGCAGAAGCAGTGGAAGAAGCGTTCTTGCTAGGATCGAAGCTTGGAATGAATACTAACAATAAAACAATTTTATTGAAAGCACTTCATGATGCTACAGCAGCCGAGATAGTCATCGCGGCAACTGCTGTCGGTTTTGTAAGTAAATCAAGTGGTATATAACTAATCGATCAATATATGTATTCAGATGTCTTTTAGACCTTCTCTTGAAAGAACTGACATTGCTGTAGAACAAGAAAAATTTTTGACTGAGTGTACATTAAAAAAGTATATCCGTGGTAACTATACAAAAGGCCCTCACATGATGGGTTTTGTAGCGAATGAAACAATCTCTTTTCTCAACAGTAAGTTACATAATTTATAAAATGGTATAAATTCATTGATATTCTAATAACGAGTATTATTGAATGAATTGTTTTAGGTCTTGGAGGTATTTTGAATATAACTCAAGAAGCTTTTCGTTTGTCAGGTAATGCAATAAAGGATATGTATTTTGTGTCAGACGTCACAAAAGCTGTTTTAAAGGGTATAGTAAAATTAGCTCAGAAATCTATATACGAATTGATAAAGGTAAAATTTACATTTCATTCTTCATTTTTTTCATTTCTTCAATACCTCAGTCACTAAAAAATTTTCAGCAAACTACAGATTTATTTTTTATACTCGGAATTGATACGAAACAAAAGTTGATCACTCGTAATAATAATAATCCAATTTACTATTATCGCTTTTCTTTTGACTCAAACTACTCTTACCACAGAGCATTAGGAATGAATTTGGATGGTAAAGAATTATAAATTACATAATGATGAGAGTTATATTAAAAGTTGAAAATGTGCTTGATTAAGTTTCGATATGATACATTTCAGGGATCGGTCATGCAGATGAATTACCATACTTATTGTATATGCCACAAGCAGATCTTCCTTTGAACTTATCAGAAATTGTAACTATCAGAAGTAGATTTGTTAAATTATGGACTAACTTTGCTAAATACGGGTGACAAAATTTCTGTTTCAAATTTTAATAAGATAGAAAAAAAGGATGTAACTCAAAATTTTACAATATACTTATTTTTTGTTCTTCAGGAATCCAACTCCGATTGGTAAAGAAGACAAGGTTTTACGAGTAACTTGGCCTGATTCGCGTCTTCGTGGACAACATCTAGAAATTGGCGCCGATCTAATAATTGGTCCGCGTCCAACGGACGATGCCGTAAAAAGCTTACAAGCATCTGGATTAGGCACTTCACTCGTATTGAACGATTGTAAAGATAGTGACCTCTTTGAAGTAATCGATACAGCTGTTCGTATTTTTGATATGATCCATCAAAACATATCGTCAAAGAATATCTGACATTAAATCTTGTGATTATTCGATAAATAAATCGTATTTCTATCAACTCTGAAATTATGAATTGAATTAGAATTTATAACTAGAATTAGGATCACTTTTTCTTATTTTTCATGGAAGAAAAGTTTGTCTTTTAATGATTTTATCTCGTTTTTGACATGTACATATTGTACATTGATATCTTTCGGCAATCGATCCTTTCATTTTTCCATTTATGCCACTGTGACTTTTTTCTGCTGACGACGTTTTAACAATTATTATTTGGAAGTTCTCTGAGAGGATCAGAAGCAGTTGCCCAAGCATTTTGGCTTGGATCAAAACTTGGAATCAATGCTATTAGTAAAAACTCATTATTGAAAATCCTTTTTTTTTCACAAAGCTTCGGCAGCCGATATTATTTAAGCAACAACAGTTGGTTCGGTAAGAGCGTTAAGTTGAGATAGAAAAATACGTAGTCAATGATATATTACAAAGTAATTTTATATTTTAAGACTTTATTTCAATCTTCTCTGGAAAAACCTGACATTACTAGATATCAATGTTTTTGACAGAGTGCACTTTGAAGAAGTAGCGGGAACTATACGAAACGTCCGCACATGATAGGTTTCACAGCAAATAAAACGGTCTAATTTGCGGGACGTAAGTTATCAAAAAATTTAGAATATTGACCAATGATTATTATATTGTTATATCCGTAGTAAATAAGAACGCACAATATGAAAAATGTTGGTTTATTTTAATTAGGTTAACGTGTTACTCATCAGTGCGAGAAAATCAACTCACTAACAATAACAAAAACAAACAGTTTCTTAAACGAACACTCTGAATGTAGTAAGTTTTGCGTTTTGCAAAAAGCCAATTACTGGTTTTGTCATATCTCAGAAAGACTATCACTAGCGGAATAGAGAATTTGAATGCGGATGATATATACAAATTGATTCAGGTAACATTTGTGCTTTTGTATTATTTTCTATTAATTCAATGAAAGAATTCTTAATAATTTTGTTAGCTCACGTCAGATTTATTCTTCATACTTCCTATTGGTATATATATATAGCAGAAGGTTATAAGTCGCAAGGATTACCTAATTTATTACTGTCGGTTTTCCTTCGAATCAAACTACTCAGTCCACAGAACATTAATGAAATTAAATTTAAATGGCAAGTAATGGAATTTCTATGTGAAAATTCAAGTAGTGTGCTATATATTTTCAATCTTATACATTTCAGAAAATAGACATGCAGACGAATTGCAATATTTATTTTATATGTCATGATGAACTTTCCGTCGAACGATGTGGGCATTACAACTATAAGAAAAAAATTCGTTAAATTGTGGATTAATTTTGCTAAATACGAGTGAACACAATTCTTATTACAATACGATATTTTCAGCGACACAATAAGAAACGTTTATATTCATACTAGTTTTGTTATCTCAGTAAACCAACTCCAGATGGTTAAGAGGTTGAGGTTTTAGGAATAGCTTGGCCTGATTCGCTTTCTTATGGAGAGCATTTAGAAATTAATAAAGATCTGACTATCGGTCTCTGTCCAACAGACAGCACCGTGGAAATCATATCTGGTATCTGTGCTTCGCCAACACTGAATCGATGCGAGAACAGCGTCCTTTCCAACGTGTTCAAAGTTTGAATGACGTGCCGATAAGTACTGTATATCAAACGTTTATAAGTTTTACAAACATTTATAATCCAATCAATATTCGCAAGCAAAACCACATAATAATAAGTCACTTCATACAAACTATTAACTTTGTCCATATAACGCGGAAACGTGATGGGGCACTAATCTGCCAGTACAATATTAAAAGGGTATACGCGACTGAGAAAGAGGAATTTAATGACGCACGCAGATGCGGGCATGTCTTTCGCACGAGCATCAGAGAGAGAGAGAGAGAGAGAGAGAGAGAGAGAGAGAGAAAGAGAGAGAGAGCGAGAGAGAGAGAGAGAGAGAGAACGTGTTAATGACGCAGTGTGCGAAAGCCTTCGTCAAGACGCTTTGCACGTTGCCCAGTAATGTGCTTTTACTCCGATTGACGTAAATAGTGAATGCCACAAGCTTGGTTGTGCTGTGCTGCGTGTCGTAAAGTACTTTTATTATTCAACAGCACAACACAACGGCTGCTGCAACTAAAGTGGACCTCAATGTTTATATGTGTACGATGTAATGTTGTGTCTAGACTACGAGCTCTTACGTCACTTTTGTTTACGGTCGGCCGATTGTTTGTCTGGAGGTGCATTGGTCTTTTGTCTTGCATTTTGAGAAATAAGTTACGAGATTTTATAGATTTTTTTTTATTTTTCGAGATACAAGTAGCGTTTGTTAACGACCATTAAGTAAAATAAAAAATTTTGGAATAACGTAGATCACTACCCCCATTACAGCACCTCATGCTGGGCTGTATAGTATTACATTTTTGATCTCGTTAAATGTAAGAAATCGAAGAGGTGGCATCATCGCATCATACGCTGTTGGCACTCATTATCTCATGAGCTTGTGAAAAGAGAGAGAGAGAGAGAGAGAGAGAGAGAAGCTCGAGCAACGAAAAAAATATCAAGTTGCTATAGCGAGAGAGTGTAGAAGACATCAGGGTGCTAATGGCTCTCACATAGTCACTTCACATTAAGCCCAAGCAAATTGAATCAAGCTCTGTTTCCTTCCTCTCAAAAGTCGCTCTCGTGAATACATATCCTAACGTGCCAATGTACGAAAAATGAAAGAGACCAACCACCCCCTGATAAGCACTGCGTGTATGTTGCACAAAGGCCTAATTACCCATAAATTCGCTGATTTACGAGAGGTCCAGAAATGTAAATATGAAATATGAAAATGAGGAGGCCGCGTAATAAAAGTGATGTACGAGGCTCCGTAGGGTCGTTCGTGAAGGCGTCCATCATTGGGGTGACGCGTCTACCTCTCTCTCTCCCACCCTAAAATGTTCGCGCGCCTCCCCCCACCCACCCGCATTACGCACACCCGCGCTGCCCCTCTTCTAGTATTGTCGAGTGTGCTGATGCCTGTGGACGCCACGTACCATTTTCTCTCTCCTTTTGACGAGCCTTGGAAAAGCTCCTTTGTTTCCGACTACTACTCGAGTGATGTACGGCTTGCGGTACCGAGAGAGAAAACTTTTGCAGACTTTTTCCTTTTACCGAGATAATAGGGACAATAGGCAAGAGTTCTTTTGATTTAAGTGATTGAAGAACATCCGAGGGCGTAAGATAGTTTGGATTTTCCGGACATCAAGTTTTATGGATTAGATTTCTGTTTGTTTTGAAATAACGAATAATTACTGGAGAAAACATTTCAACATTACAATTGAACGTTGATATTCCTTTAAATATTGCTAAACTAAAATGAATTACTCACTCAATTAGCTCAATTGAAGTCTTGACGGACAATAGAGACTGGCGTGACAATTAAGTCGTTCTCGCTGATCAGTCAGTGTGTAGACACAATTCACTCAGAAATTATGTAGGTATGCGACGTATTTAATCCCTTATTTGTGGAATAAGCCCGCATATACAGATATAAAGCGATCTTTGGAAAGCTACCGCCACGCGACTGCCTACGTATTTCAGAGCTGCTATATCTTTAGTTTTGCGTTCTGTTTAACCTCGCCAGCAAGACGAATATTAACGCATTGGTTATATCCATCCGTATTGTCCTATCTTTTTTGAGTTCTCCGACGAAGACGACAACGAGAAGGATCTGGTACGAATTTGTAACCCGTTTATTGACACGAGCCTACGTCATACAGAACCCCTTTTATGAAATTGTAATCTATCCAATCTAATTATGAGAACAATATACGCTTCGAATTTATACTCGTCCTGCTTTTATGATTGACAGCCGTCAATAATTCAAAAAAAATGGAAATAAAAACTATTTCGTATATTCGTTTGCATAATATTCAAGCGAATTGCACGTTCTCTCATTAAATTGCTTACAACGAGATCTCTCGTCGATAAATTCCGGTGGGTTGTGGTGGTAACACGAGTTAAAATAATATACAACAACGCGAGGTCATAGTAATATTCGAGAGCGCGCGCAGATTCCGATATCTGATTATCATACGTCTTGAGCGGCAACGATAACGGCAAATAATTAAACGTCGCGCCGCGCGCTCGTGGCCGTTGCGGAGCTTTAGCCCGAGAGCAAAATTATCGAAGCATTTCTCTTGCAACATTACGAAGGCATACTCACACACACACACACACACACACACACATGAAAGAGCGTTAACCGGGGATTTCAGAGAGAGAGAGAGAGAGAGAGAGAGAGAGCGCGAGGCTCAACTAACTCTATGAGTATCGCGATATGCAGATATCAAAATGCATCCGTGAAAGCTTCGTTTATTTGTTGACGATTATTGTTCAATGTCGATAACGCGTGCGCTGTTTCTGATGTTTCAAGCTGGTGCTGGTAGAGGCGGCTTGGGAACATTTTGACGTAGCGTGAATTCGAGGCGATGCCTTTCGCTTACAAAAGTCTCCATTGTAAATGAACGTAATAGAATAGTTTTTATGGTCGTTGACATAAGCGCTATAACGTGAAACAAGCACATGTTTCTCGATGAACACTTTCAATTGTGTGCCCTTTATAAAAACAAGTAGGAGAATAGAAGCAATCCTCTGCAGGTCATACAGCTTAATTTCCAAAGTTCTCTCTCTCGCGCGCATCCGCAACAAAAGCGCGTGCTCGTAGGCAACAGCCAACGAGGCATACTTTATAGCTACTTGAGCCTCTTTTGATAAGCATCGCGTAACGAGGGTTGGCTTGCTGCAACAGCAGCGAAAAACGACTAGTCCGACGAGTGCAACTCTGCGTAGGTATGAGGCCGGCGTCCGGCAATAAGAGGGAAATCTAGGAATGAAGAGGCGTTTCCGTACATCTGCCGCTGCGTCGTCCATCACTGCAGCGTTGCGCCCTGGGCTAATACACGTATAATTACTCCTTTCTAAGATTTATTTTAATTAGCCCCTATATCTTCGGCTACCCCCACCAGCCCCACTCCCTTAGCGCTCTAA